TAAGGATGGGTGTGTGTGTGTGTGTGTGTGTGTGTGTGTGTGTGTGTGTGTGTGTCCAGCCCCTGCACCAAGCAGGAAAGACACCTGGGGTCAGGTGACCAGAGTAAAGTGACTGTCTAGTTTCCTCTTGAAGATTTCCAGGGTGAAATAGATATCTATATCTAAAGAAAGAGAGAGACACACACCCATATATAGACAGCTAGCTATATAGCTAGATATACATATACACATAGATACATAAACACACACACACACACACATATATAGAGAGAGAGTATATACACTACACACACACACACACAGGTGTAGCTCTATATAGCTCTATCTATCTATGTGTGTGTCTCTCTCTCTTGCTCTCTCTCTCTCTATTTATATATATAATATCTCACCCTGGAAAACTTGAAGAGGAGACTAGACAGTCACCTTGCTCGGGGTCACCTGACCCCAGTTGTCTTTCCTGCTCGGTGCAGGGGGCTGGACCCCATGATCTTCTGAGGTCCCTTCCAGCCCCTGACAAGCTATGAAAATATGAATATTTTATACACACACACATATCTGCACAAGTGTGTATGTATGTGTACACACACACTATAGCTATGCAAGTACATGTACGTGCATGCAAGTATGTGTGTATGTATATGCACATGTGTGCATGCATGCATGTCTGTATATGCACACGTGCATACGCACATGTATATGTACAAATGTGTGTATATGCATATGTGTGTATGCATGCATGTGTAAGTGTATACTCCCTTGCTTGTGCGTGTGTTCTGACAATTAGCATGTACCACCCTTATCACCCACCTCTTCCTCGCCCAGGGGGAAGACGCCAGCTGAGTCCGACATCCAGCTGCTGGACATAGCCCGGAAGCTGGACTCCTATGGGATCCGACCTCACCCGGCCAGTGATGGGGAAGGGACGCAGATCAACCTGGCTGTCACACACATGGGGGTCCTGGTGCTGCGGGTAAGGACAGCACCCTCCCTCTCCCCGCAACGTGCTCCCAGGCCTTGGCAGCCACGTGTGTCCTGGATCCCACCCTACCCTGGAGCCCCTTCCAGGCCTAGGTCTGGTTCTACCGCTTGGCTGCACTGGCGCTGACTGCCAGGCTCCCTGCTCCACACGTCTGCTTGCTGCTGGCCTGCTGCCACTGCTCTACATGCCACCCACACGCGCGCTGGCCTGACATGCCAGCCTCTGCCTCTCCGGCCACAGCGGCCTGCGGCTGTGGGTTGGCTCCACTTTGGGATCTCTGTTTGTCCCTTGTAAACGCTGGTGTCGCTCTGTCAGGCCTGCGTGTCGCGGGGCTGCTCTGCTCACACGCACCGTGTAATCTTCCAGCAAAAATAGCCACCTCGTGCCCAGGCAGCTTGGGCACGCTATAATCAGGATGTATTTGCAGCGTAACTACAGGCTCCTGCGGTCGCTGCGTGGTCCAGCCCCGGGACTGTGAGGTGTCTTGCACCCAGTGACACACCATCATTATTGGCGCCCTGTTACTAATTAGCACCGCTTAGCCAGAGCCTAAGTGAAGGCACATGCTCCTTATTGGCGTACAAATGACTCCGTGCCATCCAAGTGTGGAAGCGCACAGGCCTGGTGTGGGTTTCCACATGTGGCGACACCAGTTTTGTGCACAGTTCTGGGTGCAGATGCAGCGTGGGACATAGTGATGCTCCAGAGAAGGGCAAGAGGGGTGAAGAAGGGGATGGAGGGGCATCCCTATGTGGCGACACTAAGGAGGCCAGGCCTGGTCTGTTCAGAAAGGAGATGCATGAGGAGGGTTTACAAAACACCTAATGGCAAAGAGCACGCCAGTTGGGACAGTCAGTTTATTCTCCCGTTCAGCATCCGCTCTCTGCCGCGCTGTGACACAGGAGACTGGGCCCCAGGGGCTGAGCCAGTCCATGGCAATGGTCTTAAGTAAAGGCATGCATGCAGCAGGTGGGAGCTGAACATTAAATCACTTGCCCAGCTGGCTGGGACAAGAGCATCCTGACACTACGAAGGTCTGATCCTGCACCCAGGGGCTTGGGGCAGAGCCCACTGCAATTAATGGAGCGCGGGGAGTCGTCTTTGCATCAGTGAAGTGGTCCTTGGGTCAGGTCCTGAGCACTCAGCAGACCCAGCATTTGCCCCCTGCTTGTCCCTGCCCCGCCTGCCTCCCTCACAGGCGCTGGAGGGGTGCAAATACCCAGCTGGGAACCAGCCTGATGCCAGCAGGGGCATTCAGAGCCTGCTGGGAGGGTGCTGGGGCCCTTGGAGCCCTGGTAACTGGGGCTCTGCCATTGCAGGGCAACACCAAGATCAACACCTTCAACTGGGCCAAAATCCGGAAGCTGAGCTTCAAGCGGAAGCATTTCCTCATCAAGCTGCATGCCAATGTCGCCGTGAGTAGCAGGGCACTGCGGGGCTGGGCCTCCATGGACTCTGCTACAGAAGTCATGCCATGCTGCCCCCAGGGTCCTCAGCTGCAGGGTGAGGTCTCCTCTCCCTGCCTCAGGATGCTCTGAGGTGTGGGAGCTTGGATGAGCCCAGCCTGCCATGCCATGCAGCCCTGGCTACCCCCTGATGCCAGCCAGGGCCAGCCTGGACACTTCGGGGCAGTGGTTTCCAGCCACTTGCCATGCGCTGCCCCATGTGTCACACACATGTTCCCCGCAGGCGCTGTGCAAGGACACGCTGGAGTTCAGCATGGCCAGCCGGGACACCTGCAAGGCCTTCTGGAAGACGTGCGTCGAGTACCATGCCTTCTTCCGGCTCTCCGAGGAGCCCAAGTCCAAGCCCAAGGCGCTGCTCTGCAGCAAGGGCTCCAGCTTCCGCTACAGGTGACTGCCGCGGCTGGGTCCCGCGAGCTCTGGGACACCCTTGAGGGCAGACAACGCGTGAGGGGCGCGCACCTGTGGGAGGAAGCCAGTGAGACCCACCTTGGCCTTCCCATGGGGCCATAGCCCATCTCCAGGGGTGGACCTAGGATTTTGCAAAGGTGCTGGGGGGGAGGGGGGGGGTGCAGCTGGTGAGGTGCATTACCCTATGTAACACAATGCACATTTTTTTCCTCTGAGTAAGAAGAAACTAAAAGCTTTACTAACACCCCAAAGGCCTAGGGCGGCAGGTTTCCAGTTAGGCTTGCAGCAAAAACCACTGGGATGTCATTGGCATGGGTTAAAAACAGCCTGCAGGGCTGTGAAATAGGAGTGGTGTGACCAGGAGGAGCCAGCAGACAGCGGAAGGGCAGAACAAAGGCCAGCTGGATACGGGGCACATCAAGACCATTACAAAGAAGAGAGGGGTGTCATTAACACCCACGGATGAAGAGTTTAGCAGGAATCAGGGAGATGATAATGAGCCCTGAAGGCGACTCCCTCAGTGCTGCTGGACTTGAAAGACCACTGGCTTTGCCAGGCAGCTGTTTTTAAAGGTTGGGTGGAGCAGGGCATCCAAAATGGGGCATGCACTGGTGTGGCTCTCCCCCCCCTGCCACTGCAACGGCCAAGCTCTACCTCCATCGGCTCCTGTCTTGGCCGGCAGCCTGTGACCTGAGGTTATTGCTGTGCCAGGGCCTGCAGGGTTTGCTCACGCATGCTTTCTCTGGCAGCGGGAGAACCCAGCGGCAGCTGCTGGAGAACGGGAGCAAAGGGAAGCTACGGAGCCTGCCCTTTGAGAGGTACCGGGGGGTGGTCAGGGCAGCAGGGCAGGGGTGGTGGGGTACCCGTGTGCCTGACGTGTGCCTCTCGGCTCTGCAGGAAGCACTGCGCCGCCCGCTACAGTGAGAGGCAGTGCCGCTCCTCGCCGGACCTCCTCACCGATGTCTCCAAGCAGGTAGGACACCACCCCAGCCTGCTCTGCACAGCCCGTGTGAACATGGGAGCCTGGGGTGGGGGGGGGCACTGAGTCCAGCCTGTGCCATCACAGCCCCTTGCTGCCAGCCAGTTCTGGATGCTTCCCCTCCAGCCTCGCAATGGAGATGACCGACACGTGTAATGCAGGGCAGCCCCCAAGCTGCTCTGAGGGACAGCAGGATTGGACCCAGAGCAGCCATGAGTGATGCTGTGCAGTGCGGTAGCCCCCACCTCCCTGCTGCCTGGCCTCACACCCCCTCCCCGCCCCGGGTGCCCCACAGGGAACAGCATCCGTGGTAACATAGATGCACCCACTCCTTGCTTTGTCAGAGGGAAAGGAGGCCCCCCCCCCCCCCCCCC